TCACATAGTGCTTTCCATAATGTTGCCCTACCCCTAAAACACCTAATACCATCGCTCCCGTATTACTGTCAGACCTGTCGTTTGTTTCCTGATTTGGGTGCTATATTGCGTCTTTGCCTTATTTCAAATTACGAAGTGGTAGCTGCTCGAATGGTTCTCGAAATGCACTTGAAAAATAATAGGGTTTACCCAGATATACTTTATGGTGCGTTGGTGAAACTTATAAGGATTACATTAATACTAAGGATGGTACATGATCCCTTCTTCCTTGCGTGTGTACTCTTTTCATCCGAGCAATATTTGTGATTCAGCAATCGACAAGAGGCAGCTTGAACGCACTGAGCGGCTCGACTACAATCACAGTGATATTGTTTATGCTAAATGCGGTAGAGTTTGAACTTAACTAATTGGAATGAGCTAAGAAGACAGGGTAAACTATAAAACTATATGCCCTGCTATTTTTACCTTCGTCTGGACTCAAAATATCCAATCCAGAAGATTTTAACACATGAACCAAGGGTTACATTGTACTTCAACTAAAAGGAAGATATTCATGCGCAAGTGTACATCGTTCGATGTTGTGTACTTTGTTTGTCTTTTTGCATTAGGGGAAACCAAGCGCTATGAAATCGGTAATAATAAAGCCTCATGTTAGATTGGAATGACTTTTTATACTTTAGTCGGTAATGACCCTATTCCTAGCACCAGTTACAGTGCTGCACCTCTTACGAGTACAGGTAGCAGTCTGGCTATTTGCCAATTACACTTGTCCCAAACCGACCAATCAGCTACAAGACCGCATTGGATGCCCAACTCTCGATGCACCCGTTCTAGCAACACTGTTTACGAAATTCCCCCAACTTATTATCCAATAATTATGCACAGAATACAATGCCCTAACTATTAGCGTCCAGCCTCTCTTTTAATTCCGGACCGGCCGAGGACTTTAGCTGCTTTGACAGGTCCCTTAACTAGGCAAAATTGAGAGTTCTATTGCACTATAGGTGGAAATAGTGCTTATCACAAATGCAAATATCTTCTGCTAAGTTCTTTACCTGGAAGGGGCTCTTCTGGCACACAGGCGTCATTGGCATCACCGACATAACCGGGCAGACACACGCACTGTTCATCTTGGCACTTAGCATTCGTTCCGCAGTATTTTCCACCACATAGCTCTAAATGTTTCATGTAAAATATTTATTTTGTTTTAAACTAATTAAATGAGTTCAACAAAAACATAAATAAACTAAAAAGTAAACTAGAAGTAAAAATAACCACAGGACGCTAAAGATTTTCGTGTGTGGAGTGCAATGCAATGTTAAATGCCGATTAAGTACACAAGAAAAGTCATAGAAGCATAATGAATGAAAAGTACTGCAATCCACAATGATAAAAAAATTAACTGGCTTTTTATAAAGGTAGAGAATTATGTATAGTGAAATGCATAGTGCTATCGCTATCCGATTACAATATACAAATCATCCAAAAGTGAACTCCAAGAAAAGCTCAACGTTCGCCTTTAGCTAGTATCTTTACTGTCAGCATGGTCAATCATAAAACATGTCGATATTCTTAGCTGTCTGTTGGAATTTTATTAATATTGGGAGGTTCTCTCAATGAGGTTGGTGGACTTCGGCTCAAATATTCCTAACAACTTTCGGACTGAGCATTTATAGCTCATTCCGGCTGAGGAGATTTAAAAGTTGAAATTTCAAAAATGGAGTATGCACTAGATGTTTTAAATCCCTCGCAGCTTTGGCATGCAGCGATAGTATATCGTAAAACACATATGCTGGCTTAATCTAGCATCAGTGTTGTCGGAATGGATAATTATGCAACATAAACCAAATTAACTCTTATGATGAAATAACGTCCAGTTGCGTATGCATACGCCTTCGCCAAGTAATAAATTAACTGTGTGTCTTTAGAATCTTTAGTCAAGAATAACACGTTAACAAAGATAAAACGTCTATTAGAAACCTCATAGTTTGGTCAATCAATCAGAAATTACTAAGGATTTTGAACGAGTTTTAGTGTATGTAAGATACTAAGCGTCACAGACTGGCTCACTTCGGTAAACGAGTTGGCTGGAGAAAACAGAGCAAATGAGCTTGTATAGAGTCGGATACTTTCACTATTATGATGCTTAAAGCATGAGTTTTGGGGTACTTCTCACCCTATCTGCGCAAACTCAGACTATTGTACCATTACCTATGAGTAAACGGATTCCCGAGGGAATCCGAAACGTCAGGCAAATAAAACTCTTGTTCCAGTGGTCGCATCTCCCTCTTCTGAACTTCTGTAAATGTCCTAAAATATTCAACTCATAACAGTTTTGTCACTGTAACATTTTTTTCCTAGAAAACAGTAGGGTCCTAAACATTTCCGAGGGGTAAACCGATATGTCATGAAGAGTAACTCGATCAGCCAGAAGAACTCATTAAAATTCCGCAACAAATGTATGAGCACCTCCTAATACCGCTCTAGAAAGCAGATAAACATATTGTGGTTGTTAGAAGAAGGAAAAGCTTTCACCGGGCGGTGCTTATTAAATATCTGACGCTTCAGATGGTCGTGTCGTCCACCCATCTTCAGAGGCTGACATTCGCGGCCCTCATTATATGCTGCTGTTTTCCGTGTGCTTAGCCTGTCAATACTGGCTGGGCCGCTGCCTATGGCTCGCGTCCACTGTCACTTGTA